CATATAGTTCGGGCTGGACCAGGTGACCCTGAATCCTCCCTTAGTGATGCTGTAATAGGCGGAGGGATTCCCATGATGCATTCAGTATTTCTTCTTCAGTCACCTTTCTCACTCACTATGTGTTAATAGACCTCTCTGCACTGAATCATATCTGTTATTAATCTCTGGCTCTCGTCCACAGCATGTCTTTATCCTGTTTTCCTTCACTTACTCCAACCAATCACAGCAGATGGCCCCGCCCCTCCCTGAGCCTGCTTCTGCTGGAGGTTTCTTCCTGTTAAAAAGGAGTTTTTCCTTCCCATGGTCACCAAGGTGCTTGTTCATAGGGGGTCATATTATTGTTGGGTTTTTCTCTGTATGTATTATTGAGGTGACAGTGGTTGTGATTTGGTACTGTATTAATTGAATTGAATTGAATATTATTTATGACATTAAACACTTTACTGTTGAGTTTATGGTCAGATCAGTCGTCAAACAATCAGGATGTGAGTGAAGTGCAGACTTTAAATCACAGAGTTTTACAAAAGTACTCCATTAACGGTTTAGGACTTGAAGCCATTTTTACAGTGTCCCCAGCTCTATGTTCATGTTGACCCTACACTCAGCCTTTCTCAGAGACTGAAGTTTTTAAACTGATCACATGTATTAAACACGTCTGAGTTTTGGGTTGATAACGTGTTAACCTGTATTATAAACTGGGTCCTTATTCTGATCCTCTCCACTCTCGAACACGGGGTACGTACCTCTCTCATCTTGAAGAAAGCCATGCCTGTGAGCAAAGAGTCCGAACCAGCCTGATGTTGTGGTCCAATCCTCTCCAGCTCTAGTTGCTCAGCTACTTCCTGAAGCCCACCCTGAAAGCAACACACTTGAGATCAGTGCATGCAGTCAAAGTAAAACCTGAGGGATTGCATCAGAAATCAAGGTGATTAAATTAATAAAGCAGGAGATGCTGCGTGCATGCTGCTGGAATATTTATAGAAGCACCTTCAGGTTTTTACAGCTCTTCATGAGGTACTTGACATCGTAAATGACTGGGAAGTACAGGCGAAGAATCTCAAAGAAGTCCACCTCCTCCTCAGGAAGGTTAGCGTTGGACAGAATCTTAATCAGGTATCCAAAGTCATAGCCACTGTAAAACACACACAGCACACACTTTAACAAAGTTGCTTAGGAGCACAGCAGCTGGTGTCAAATACTATATCACTTTCAGTCTCCAAGGAAACAAAGATAACTGTCACGGTCCTGGGTCTCCTGACCCAGCGTTTTTAGTTCTTTGTGATTTTTGTATTATTGTACTTGTGTGTGATCTATTCTATGGCTTCTAGTTTTGATCCCTTGCCCTTCATGTCTCTCTGTGTCCCCTCTGTTCTGTGTAATTGTGTGTCTTTGCATGTTTGAGTTTCTTGTTTTCTGTCACTCTGCATTGTGCATTATGTTCTCATGGTTGGTTTTTTGTTACTCTCTCTAGTCTAGTCTCTTGTGTTCCCAGCTGAGTATTTCCCTGTGTATTTTGGTTCTTAGAGTCCTCTGCCTTATGGTTTATGTCTCTGTATTTCTTAGTTGCTGTCTCCACTGTGTCAAGTTCGCGTCTCTGTGTGATACTTCCTGTTTTACTTTGATGGTCCGTGTCTCATGTGAATGCGTCCTGCTTTGCTTGTCTCGTCAGTCCTGATTTCTCCCAGCTGTGCCCTCCTTCTGTGTCTCATTCCCCTCGTTACTTCCCAATGTATTTAAACCCTGTGTTTCTCTGAGTCAGGGTCGCGTCGTCCCGCATGCTGTGTGGATCTACCTGTGTCTCTCTGTGAGTTTTCTAAGGTCCTAGTTTAGATTAGTTTGTATGTTTTTTTTCCCTGCCAGCAAATAAAGCTGAGTTTTGAGTTCACCTTCCTGAGTCTGTGAGTCCTGCATTTTGGGTCCAACTCCTGCCTGCCGCACAGCGATTCATGACAATAACTAAGAGTTTCATATCAAAGAAACATTGAAATAAAAATACACTGTAGTTATAAATTCCATTGTGGCAACTGAGAAAACTAGACGAGAATAAAAGTGACATCAGTGACCTTCAAACCCAATCTTTGGTTTTTTTGTCCCATTTTTTTTCTCTTTGGTATTTTTTCATACATAAAAATGAGAACAAATGATGTGTTTTTGTGAAAATCTGCTAGTAACAAAGTAGTTAAGTTAGTAGTTAAAACCAGTTCTTTGCAAAGTAGTGTGTTAGATGTGGCTACAACACTGGTTCATCTCTTGAGTTAGGTGCATTTAATGCTAGGACGATTCAGAGGTCAGTGCTAAATGGCTTCACAAACAAACAGAAAAAAAAAAAACATTCCTCTGAATATTTTCAGGTACAAACACTCGTAAAAATCAGTGAAAAGTCGTCAGTGTTCAGAGGAAAAGTTTGAAGGAGCTTTAGAAAGCCTGACAGCAAGTCTGGCTGCTTGGAAGCAACATGCAAAGAAAGACGGCACAGTGCTGTGTTTTTGGTGTTAACACGTTTGTGGCTAAATAATCTTGGTGCTCTGTAACGTTTCTTATTAAAAAGACGAGACAAGACAAAACTATTTGACAGGTTAAATATAATTTCAAATTGAAACTAAACAGCATGTCTGAACAGCTCAGCAGACATGTAATTTGGTTCAAACACTCATATTTCAAGAGCTTTTACAAAGGTAATATATAATATTCAAACTCGGTGATAGTGTACCAAAGGTAAAACGCTGTGTTTCTAATAAGTGCTTTGTTATTAAAGAGTAAAAAATTGTGGAAATCTGCCTTTGCTGCCATGTGTGTATAAAATAGCTATAAACCAGTTTCTGGATGTGAAGCAGCAGGTAAACACAAGTGTTACTAATGACACTGCGAAGATTAAGTCAGAGCAGAATACCTGTGAAAAGACAGCCACTTGACTCCGTCGCAGAGCACCACACCTGATGTCATCAGCAACTCTGCAAAGTAAAGCGTCTCAATGCCTTCGTCCTCGTGCTTCTTGAACTGAATCCCTGAAGTGGTCAGGAGCTCAATGGAGTCCTGTGCATACATATCTTCTCTAAAGGGGAAGAAAGTCACAAACAACAAAGTCAACTAGGTAACAGGTCAGTAATCAGTTTAAGTGTAGGGATTATAATGTTGCTCTTGAATGACAAATAAACTGGCCGTACGAAATTTTACAACATTAGACGATCAACTCATGTTTAATTTGGACAGCTTTTTTCTGGGGGACAAAAAAAAAAAGTGTAATAAATTAAAATGCCAAGTCTCAGGATTCATTTGAGTAGGTTTAGATGAATATTACAAAAATGTAAGGGAGATCAAACCCTTTAACACACTGCACCTAAACTGCAAACAGTGAAGAAAAAGAAAGCCACAAAACTAAACAGAAATGTACTAGAAGAATATCCTCTGTTCAAATAAAAACTAAAACTAAAAGAAAACGCTGATTGCCAAAATCAGCTGGTTGGGTCTTTTGTGGATCCGCAGAAAAAATATATAGATGGTAGCAACAAACTATGAATGCACTTCAGGATGCAGCGTACATGTTTTTCCTTCAAGAAACGACTCCCTGTCCATGACTTCAGAGCTCTCACCACTGACAGGCTGCAGTTTGCAAAAAATGTACAAAAAGAAATAAAGTAGTGTTTTGGAACCACGTTCTGTTTGATCAAACCAAAATTTACCTCTATTAAAATGATTAAACATCTCTAGGAAGGGAAAAGCTTGGAACATAAAATGCCACATCATCATCTAACATCGAAGGGCTTCTGTTAGGATTCGTGCACGTAACCCTGCCAAACGCCCTGGCTCACTGGTGTTGATGATTTCACTGCTGGCAGAAGCCGTACGTTGAATGCAGAGTTGTGCTTACATTCAGCCAATTGCATCAGAACCTGTTGGATGTTTCATTATTCAGCAGGACAACAATCCTCTACATAAAACCAAAAGGCTTACAAGAGTAAAAAGAAGGAAAATTCTCGACTGGCCGAGTCAGCCCTCTGATTGAGCGCCATTCCAAAAGGTGGCGGTAGCTGACACAAGCAGCAAAGAGCTGTACGTGAGCAGTTAAGGACTGGGAGATCATCAGCAGGGAGGTTACAAAGCATCTGCAACTGTCTTTAAGTCAAAAACTCAAAGCAGTCGCTTACAAAACTGCAAACACAATGATTTTGTGTGTATTTGAATAACTTTTGAGCACCAAAACTCTGGGCCCCTGTCTCACACACTTCTCTCTATAGTTTTAATGCAATACTCAAAATTAAAGCTGAGACTTGGCAGTGTAGTGTAGTATTAATTGTTTTATTTCAAACTTAGTGTCATATTGAAACAGTGCGTAGACCAAAAGCTGTCCAAATATTTACAGTCGGGCCTGCATGTAGAAACGATTCATGTCCCGTTAAAGCTGGAGTGGAGACTTTTACACAGAAAGAAACAAACTTATTTTACATCCAAGTCCTTTGTCAAATGCATTCACACAAAGCGAATCAAGCCCATCAGATAAATCTCTCAACATTTTGTATTGACAGATGGATACAGTGCCACACTACAGTAGTGAGTAAAGGCATGGCACGGTTTTCTTACTGTCAGAAGGGGCAGACAGCAACAGCATGTCCACACTGCAGAGTTAACTGCAAATCTGGACACATCTAAACTGAATATGAGAAAAATAAAGTCTGATCAGTAGAAGGATTTTGGGGGAACTTTGTATTGCTGGTTTTTAGGGAGTCAAAACCCCAGTAGTGTGTGCAGTTACAGTATTTCACAAGCAAGACAGCATCTCTGTCTTTCCAGCAGCAGTGAACGCTGTCTGTTTATTATACTTAAGAACGAGCCAGGAGTACTGTAAACAATGGAGCATCTTCGTATGTATAACATGTAGTTTAAAAAAAAAGTCAAGAAAGGATTTACTATTTGCACGCACTGATGGGCCGTTATCAGCTGATCAATCCATCTATGGGGCTCCAGCAGGAATACAACAGACAGACAGACCGGATTGCAATCTTACGTGAGGTTAAACTTAAAATTGAACTGCCACGTTGACGTCCCGGGTGGGTAGTCCCCCTGCTCGTTCATAAATGTGAGGCCCAGCTGTATTATCTTGAGCAAATCCACATTGCAGCGCAGCAATTGGTACTGATAGTCAGCGTTGCTTCTGAACTCTCCGATCGGTCTGGCTACAACACCTGGAAACTCCGTGTCCTGCAAGCAGACGAGTCACGATGAACAACGGAAATGTGGGCACGGAGAGGCGCCGCGACTGTGGCACCACTCACCATAGCAATGTAGTTGTACTTTCGAATGACATGTCGTATCCTCTTCAGCTCCTCCTCCAGGTTGTTGGCCCAAACCTCACATATTCTTTGGCTGTGATCCACAGTAGCTGCGGGCATAGTGCCACTTCACCATGCAAGGAGACAAAGAATTGTACTTGAATATAAACACAACATCTGCAACGTGGTGCATAAGTGTACTGTCATAGGTCAGCATATTACATTAAAGGGGGCTGAACAAGTGCCTTTGGTTTAACACCTAAACCAAAGGCACAGAAGGATTCCTGACACAGCACTTGACTGAAAACAAATGAGGCTTCTATATTGGGCACAGGAAATAACTTTAGCCTGCTTGTGGTACACTGGGGAAGCTAACTTTACTCGCAGTTAGTGCTTCTATTCTAGTATAATGTATGCTAACTGTTGTTACATAAAGGGAACCAGTGGGAGGAGCAGCTATCTCCTCATGATGAGCAGGACGGGCTTAGCCGACTGCTCTTCGCATTAGCTCGGGTTTTCGGCAGCACTTCGGCTAGCTAGGTTACCTGCAACAGTTAGCAGGCTGCAGAACTAGCATTAGTTAACACGGGCAGGAGGAATAGGAGCTCTGTAATGAGACAAAGCAGCTCCTGCAAGTGGACAGCTAGCTCACAGATAACTGAGACTGTGTGCAGAACATGAAAGAGACTGGTGCAAGCACGCACACACAGACACACACTCGGCGCCACTTTGATACAGCAAAGGTGAACGTAGCTTCGTTAACTTACCGTTCCCCAAACCGGGCGGGTGTGTGTTTTAAGCGTGTACTATAAGAAAACTGTTAGTTTGTTCCACGTTATAGTGTCGGGGGAGTTTCCGCTAACTTTTAAATACTTTATATTCAGTATCGTATTGATGTCAACCTACGGCTGCCATCATAGCTGAGCCTACAACTGGACGTCATCACGTAACACAGCAACGTCATACGCGTATATACGTGTGTAAGTATAGCTTGAGCACAGAGCCCTTGAAAACTGTACTAATTTTTTTTTACTATATTAGATATGCACTAGTGCTCCAGTCAGTATAATGAAAATGAATACATGAATAAAAGTCATTTCAGTAAATAAAAACACAACAACAACAACAACAATAATAATGTTGTTGTTATTAATATTATTATTTACTTTTGTCAGCAAAGTATGAACACCAAAAAAAAAGACCAACCCAGCAGCAATGTTTATTCTAGAAAATGATTAGAAGAAAGTTCGGTTTCTACCACAAAAGAAAGTTAAAAAATCACAAAACTAATTTGGTTATGATTGTGACAAATATATTGCAGCATTTTATTCTCCTAATCCAATCACATTCATACATTTAAGAATACTTTAACCTTAACCTTAACCAACTAAGTTCTAGTCTTGTGGAATACTCCAAGTTTTTTTATTGATCCGAAACCAAGTAAATACAGGCTCCGTATTACATTAATTTGAATCTATACCAGCAGCTTATGGACGGTAGAGCAGTGTGTCATGATTTAGAAAATGAATTATCATCAGTTTGCAAATTTTGAACACATTTTAATGGTCACTAAATCGTCACAATAATTAGTTAACAAAACAAAAAACACCATTCAGCTTTTGTTGAAACTGCATTTTATTGGTGACCTGGAAGGTAAATATGTCTGTCTTTGAAGCACTGTTGGTCAGCTTCTGCTGGTTAAATGTGACGTAGGTGATAAATAAAACAGACATGACAGTCAACACAAAAACATCCAGACATCTTTCATAGTGCATGTTTGACATACATATATATATATGTATATATACATATATATATATATATATATATATAAACATGTTTTTTAAATAATTGCATTTATAATATTTATATATTGCATAATATATATGCAATTCAGTGGGCTACATACTGAACTTAGGGGATAGAAACAAAGCCTCGATCCTATCATGCTAGTATTAATCTGATACCAGCACCAGCGCTGATATAGATACTATCAGTATTTGGATTGATCCGCCCACCTCTACTATTCCCTTTCCTTTTATAAATCATGTAAACAAATATGCATTACTATTCCTATTATAATTTCTTAAAACCTTCTTTGTGCAACATCTCTAAAGTTAGAAATATCCTCTCTCAGAGTGACGCTGAAAAACTAGGTCATGCATTTATTACTTCCAGGCTGGACTACTGCAATTCATTATTATCAGGATGTCCAAAAAACTCACTGAAAAGCCTTCAGCTAATCCAAAATGCTGCAGCAAGAGTCCTGACAGGGACTAGAAAGAGAGAGCATATTTCTCCTGTTAAATCCAGAATTGAATTCAAAGTCCGGCTCCTCACATACAAGGTCTTAAATAATCAGGCCCCATCTTATCTTAATGACCTTGTAGTACCATATCACCCTATTAGAGCACTTCACTCTCGCTCTACAGGCCTACTTGTTGTTCCTAGAGTATTTAAAAGTAGAATGGGAGGGAGAGCCTTCAGTTTTCAGGCCCCTCTTCTGTGGAACCAGCTTCCAGTTTGGATTCAGGAGACAGACACTATCTCTACTTTCAAGATTAGGCTTAAAACTTTCCTTTTTGCTAAAGCATATAGTTAGGGCTGGACCAGGTGACCCTGAATACTCCCTTAGTTATGCTGCAATAGACATAGGCTGCCGGGGGATTCCCATGATGCATTGAGTTTTTCCTTTCCAGTCACCTTTCTCACTCACTATGTATTAACAGACCTCTCTGCATTGAATCATATCTGTTATTAACCTCTGTCTCTCTTCCACAGCATGTCTTTCATCCTGTCTTCCTTCTCTCACCCCAACCGGTCGCAGCAGATGGCCCCGCCCCTCCCTGAGCCTGGTTCTGCCGGAGGTTTCTTCCTGTTAAAAGGGAGTTTTTCCTTCCCACTGTCGCCAAAGTGCTTGCTCATAGGGGGTCATATGATTGTTGGGTTTTTCTCTGTATCTATGAAGCGCCTTGAGGTGACTTTTGTTGTGATTTGGCGCTATATAAATAAAATTGAATTGAATTGAATTGAATTTGTTTTGCTTTGTTTAAACATAAAAAGATAATGATAATTAGGAAAACGCCAAAACAAAACTGGAAGCTATCTAAGACTAAAAAATAGATACATAAACATATAAACAGTCCTAAGCCTGCAGTGTGAACCAAATCTGTCTCTTTTAGTAATTAAAATTACTTATGTCCTTCCTTCACTTTATATGTCAACCATTTGTCCCAGTCTTTTAAAACATGCTCTTTTCATGCTCAGTCTGTAGTTTGAGTTTTTCCAGCAGTAGGATCTCCTCAACAGTCAACTGCAGTCTTTACCTCCTGTCTTCAGGAGTTGTTGTTGTTTAAAAAAACAACAACTAAAAACTCATGTTTTTGGAATTGTGTTGGGTTAACCTTTTGTCTGTTTTTTTTGTGAAGCACTTTGTGATGTTTGTCTTGAAAGGTGCTATATAAATAAAATTTGACTTACTTTACTTACTTAGCCAACTGTCTGTTCAGTTTTTAGTAGAGGTTTGGTTTAATCTGTACATTTTGTAAAGACTACAATGATAAACCAAAAACTCACACCCATAATAAAACAGCTGAATGAGCCATGGAGCAGGACTGCTGGTGGTGGCAGCGCTTTGGGGTCTGGCTCCCCGCCAGCACAGCTGTGCAGATGTGCAGCAACAACAAGGACATTGAAGTCTTCATCATTCATCCCTAAAATGAGGGGCAGTCTTTGCTGCCATTTACTTTACCTGCCTGATGATGTAATGCAAATCTGTTTTATGGTGATTAAGTCCAAATATCAAATAAATTGTTGTTTTCAGATGAAGGATTTGAGCCTTACTGCTTTGTGTAAATAATGTCAGACTGTGCATTTATGAGGCAGCTGCTCGAGTATCTGACTAGAGAAACAAAATTAGATCAGGAGAACGGGTGACCTGAATACACAAATGGCACAATAACAGCACACTTTAGCAAAGACTCTCATTTTGTGCAGTGGCTGAGTTTACTTACACTGTTCTCCATTTCTGAATGTGATATTGTAATCTGACTCTATTCCCACTTAAATAAAACAAGAAAAAAGTAAGTATATGGCAGAAAACTGACTTAAATTTACATAAGATTGCCTTTCGAGCACTTTTGCAAACTTATCGTGATCCAACTGAACAAATGAGGGCAGCATCAGAACGCTTTAAGGCTTTTTTCTGGTATTTTTTTTAATACAAGGACAGAATTTGGTATGACTCAGACATTTTAGACACTGAAAAAACAACAACAAAACAAACATTTAAAGCGAGGTCAGAGGAGAAAAAATAGGTTATAGTACAAAAATATTTTCACATGCTTTGCCCAGTAATCTTTGCACTGTTCTTTAGCAGGAGTTCACCAAAACAATAATGGGTACTGCACTACTATAGCAAGCAGCTTTACTGCCAGTTGGACAGCTGAGATAACACAAACACTAAAGGAGTCTCTGTTGGTCATCTGCTGCCCTAAGCAGCACCATGTTTGTGTGTTCAGTCCGGTAGTTCAGTCATGCACTGATGTCGAAACACGCTGCACAGACGTTTATTAAATCACTTTGTCTTTTCAAAAGCTTCCTTTTACGTCCCTTGGCAGTAAAACCCCGTGAAATCCTATAATATGCTGAAATATTCAGGAGTGGACAGCAAGGTGCTGAAAACAAACCACTGACCGCTGGTTATTATAGTGTAATGACTCCCAGCCCCAGCTGAGGTCACTGTGGCCTGCAGAGTGAGTTCACCTCAGTCATAAATATAGTCCTTTGGGGTTGAAGTGCTGCTACATTTGGGCATATCAGAATCACTGCCACTCTTTCAGCATTAAATGTTAACTAATACCATGTATTACTGGCCTATGTTCAGAGCACACGTCATGTCATTTTACACTGTTAAGGTGTTTACATTGTAAAGCCAAATATCTACTGAATAGAAGCACTTACATGGCTTATCATTAGAAATACAGTAAACTGCAGAGAGTCAGTCTTGCTCCTACTTTCTGTTGAATATGGATTAAAATGTCCAAAAATGTAAGCTTTCTTTGGACTCTTTAACTGAGACAAGGTTAAATGCAGTCTGCTACAGGAAACAACTATGAACACGAAGGAATGCAGGAACATGGAAAGTCCACCATGCATGCAAACAAAAGTGTAAGCAAATCGTGCAACCCCAATAAAACCCGCACTGAAATTGGCCAATAGTCGGGTCACACGATCAACGTAATGGTAGTGTTTGTTCAGTGTCGCTCAGGTGACGTCTGGCTAGCATTGCGCCTCCCAGCCAATGCTACACGTCCTCAGGCAGCCGAGTAGGCTGCCTCATCGGAGTCCGGATCCCTGGTGCTGTCCTCGCTGAGAGGTGAACGGCAGCTCAGGTCCGCGATCCCAGACTCCTGGTCGCTGCCGTTGGAGAAGCTGGCGTCAGATATTTGGTTCATGCTCTTTGGCAGGAGGATGCTGTCTGGTCCTTTAGGCTGACAGGGGCTGCCGGTGATGAAGCCGCCAGTATAGTCCTGAGGAGTGTTGGCTAGACCGAGGTTGTTACCAGGAGCCCAAACCGTGGGGCTCTTATCAAAGGCGGCTGCTTTGCAGGAATCACTGCACTCCTGCTCCTGCTCCAGCTCAGAAATCTTCTATTGATAATGTAAGAAATGAAGACAACAGTCATTTTCTATAATCACAAAAACATCCAGGTGGAATTTTCTTTTTTTCCTTTGACTTGTAGTATGAATGCACGGTGATCAGCCACAATATTAAAATCACCTCCCTAATATAGTGCAGCCCCTCCCCCGTGCTGTCAAAACAGTTGCGACCCATCCAGAGACAGGCTCCAGAACCTTTGGCATCACATTAGCATGGAATAATATTTATGTCAGAAGTTATAAAAAGGCTCCAAAACTTTTCCTAGAATATCCAATTTGAAAGATTTCTTCAGCTTTAAAGTA